CACTCGAATGATAGAATCTGCGATGCGAGATATTCGGCCGAATGGGAGCAATCTTTGACTCGTAATGGAGCTTGAACAAGCACTGAAGCACTCGGTGTAATTTGAAAACACATTCGAATCCGTCCTTGACTTGGCGTGCGCCTACGGGACCATGTCAGACAGCTGGACCTGATCGAGCGGAGTCGCTGCCGTGTACTTCGGTCGCCAGCGGCCCGTGTGGAGGCGGCGACGGTTGTAATAATTGTTTTTCAGCTCGGGCCTACGGCCGACGTCCAGACGCTTGACTCGAACACTCCTGAAGGAGCCTGAACCTAATCGAGTACAATTATTATTATTGATTTCATTCGAAATAAAGTCCCATTAAAATAATCCTCGCCTCTCCGCTGAGAGGATTCGCCAGTTTACGGCAGCATGACCGCGATCTGGAGAAGTCGAGCAAGTTATTAAAGTCTCGGATATACGCGAGCTCTCTTCCCCCAAACTTCACGGACTCTACGAGCTCGCGCTGACCCTGGTGAAGGCTTTTCAACCTTGGGCCAGCCTATAAGTATAATACATACGAGATGATGATTCTCACTCATCATATTTCATTTTCGAATCGCTCTCTTCAGGCGAGAGCTGATTAGAATCCGAGGAGCGACGGTTTCATAGCTCAAATCCAATTTGCCACTGACACCATAACGAGATTCCGCTCACACCAAGTCCCAAAATCGTATCATACCATATATGATTCGAGCTTGAGAAGTACAAAAACTTCGCATGTCGTAAGCGTTGCAGGTGGCTTCTATGCTCTGAGACTATCTGAGAGTCACTGACACCGAACACCTGTGGACTCATCTTCGACTGGCGGGAAAAAAACTCTGGCTGCCTCGGACTCCCGACTTCGAACCTCGTGTATCAACGGCTGATTTCGGTTTCAGCCCTTCCCGGTATAGACCTAGACGATTCCGCCGAGTAGTCGTGTGGCGAGAGCTCTCTTCGTACCTCATTCGTTGACCACACTGGCGGTCTTCCGTGCCAATGCCTCCCCTCCTCCGATGATCAGCCCATGTACATATATCGGGGACGTCCTTGCCCATGCTACACAGTAACGGATCGTCAACAGAATCTTGAATGTTCATCCTCGACTTCAGATGCACGGGCTCATAATCACGAAGGAGGAACGCTCGGGATCGAAAGATCGGCATGTCCCTGTTGCGAGCGGAGGCCCTCCCCATCTCCTGTCCTCTTCGGGCAAATCTCGCGGGGCCTTTCCTGCATAGGGATCGGCCCTCTCTGGGGCACGGCCCATGGTTCATAGCCGTGAGCTGGCGGAGGCAACGTGAGAAAATGAGTCTCTATGCACGAGTCTGCCCGACACTTCCGCAGCACTAATTAGGAATTATCTTTCTCTCCTCAAATTCAGGACATCTTTGAGGCCAGGCCGACGGAACCCCTCGATTACCTGTCCGACCCTGTACCCCTCGATACGTTGAGATATAATGTTCTCTCGTCCTAGGATAGATGAATCGGTTTTTGAAGCGATTTGGAGCTGCGAGAATCGATGATCTCTCGAACAGCTCCCCCGGTGGAGCGGGATATTTGACTTCAGGACCATGGAGTCCATCAAAACGATACTTCATCACGTCGAAACTGTCAGATACAATACTTTTTCTACCCCAAGTTCCCTCTCCAAGGTGGCATTAATTCGCATAAATAATGGTTTGTTTTCGACGCTTCTCTCAGTGGGGTGGGTGTTGAGGTTCCATTAGAGAAGATGATGATGAGCCAATACATGCATTCACCAACGCTCTGAAGTAGATCCATGATCTCTCCGCTTCTCCCCGGCTCGTCCCGCGAACTGTGAGACCCGCTGTGCGCCACAGGCTTTGCAATAGACTCCTATCGTCCGGTGGGAGCCCATAAGAGCTCCTCAGTCAATTCGCTCAGAAATCATCCAGCGAGAACCACAGTCGTCGCTAGCTCCATCGGAGGGGGAGCTCTTCTGTGGTTCTAATGCTCTCGTTCCAAGATGGCATTCGGGGAGCATTTCACCTTCAACCTCTCCTTCCGTAGCGAAACAGAATACGTCCTTGTTGTACAGGCCGCGAGCATGGAGTCAACCTCTGAGAGAGCTTTACTCGCGTGTATCACTCCTGAGCGGCGGCGGAGAAGAGCCAGATCGAGCAGCTTCGACAAACAAAGAAATCAAAAGAATCTTCATCTCATCGGGCTCTGGGCGGGAGCTAACTCATATGGATGCCGGTAACTGCGACGGCGATCATCAACATCGGGGAAGCACTTCGGGATGGGTCCAACGGCTTTGTTTTTGAGGCTGAATAAAGTAAGATTTTTAAATGCATCGATCAACGAGCTTCCATTTTATTGTTTACAAGACCGAGTCCGCAGCCTACATGTTCCGCATGCTCATGCGGAGTCCAGGATAAGGGGATCATTGACTTCGAATCGAGGTGCTCGTAATGTAAACGTCCGTCGAGGATTGCGCCTAATCATCTGCTTGAACAAACATTGAGTAAGCCACATGTGCAGAAGCTCATCGTGTGCCTCTGCCTCCGAGTGAACGCTGGCTCGGTATAGGTGTGCGAGCGAGAGAGTGAGAAATGTACTTTCTAAACCCAACACAGTAGCGGTGACTGGGGGACGAACAATGCGATTTGTTTCGCCACCGGAGAATGTAGTGCCGACCTTTTCTGCGCTATCAACTTAGCTCCCATCTGACCAAGACGATGAATTCGCATCACGGAAGTGCGTCTCCGTCGGATCGAGTTCGAGGAGGGATTATCGAGGGACGAGTGCTGATGTGCCGGCATCACCAGGAATTCCGGAGACCAATCATTCATCAGTCATTGAGAACTTCCTCTGTATATATTGGTCAGAGAGGACTCGAAGAAACCCGCATATGGTTCAGAACATCTGTGGAGATGTGTGATGTGCAATCCGATTATCATGTATCTCGTATCATGTTCTCTCCACCTTTCCTATTCATCGCGTGCGCAGTAACCTGTCCATCGCGTATGAGCTGGCACTCCTCCCGATCACTCTCGAAACCTTCAACGTACGGGCTCTAGCTCGATCCACGACCCCGGTGGATTTCTTATAGAACCTCACAGTCGGTTTCCTCGACGCATCCTTAGATAGAAGCGGAGTCGTGACATCCCGTCTTCTAACTGTAAATCAATGATCTAGCTCATCGTCGTATACGGATGATGCCGTCCTGTCCGAGTGTTGCCGAAAGGAAATGCAAAGCTTGCCGCCGGCTACATTCGAAGTTCTGCTATTAAGAATGGGAGCGAAACTAATCCGGGACCGTTAGTCAATTCGTTTCGTAAGAAACACCTCCGTGCAGCGTGTGTTTTTGTACGATTCCCTTTGGCGACGCAGGGAGTTGTATGTATGTACGTGTGTATGTATGTATGTAGAGGCATCAGCTAGCGGAGAATGGATGTGGAGGCCCGGAGTTTTCGTTGACCATCATTTGTATCAACACAACTTACGAACTTCATCGTGTCTCGTACCCGTCGGAAGTCGTCTTTCATAATCTGGCGGCGCTCAGAGTACCTCCAAGTCTCACACTTTTGCAATCACCCTATATAATTCGACGCATCCTTCCTTGCGATGAGATTTCCTGCGTTTAGGGAGACTCCCGTAGAATCAGCCTCGCGAGAGACGTTCCTTTCTCAAGATGATCCCCGTGGAGTACGTCACCTTCTGCGTAACCCGAAGGGTTCGCCACACGGAGAGCTCGTTCCACGAAAGATTCGCGCCCGAGAAGCTCATTCACAAGAAAAACTGCGATATCGGAGGACATGTCCTTAATTGTCCGTATCGACCGCCCCTCGGAGTCTTCCGGAGAATGTCCGCTTCTCGGAATTTCCGGAGTGATTGCACTTATCTCGATTGAAAGTTGAATTCTCGTGCATGAGCCCAGGGTTGCATCGGAAACAAACTCCGCAGCGAATCGTCTCTAAACGATCGTATCGTATATCCAAATAATAGCTCTACCAATTGTTGCTCATCGGGGGAATGTTCAGAGGAATGAATCAACTCTATAGATCGGGCCGAAAACATGGACTATTTAGATTTTTTTTTCCGGGAGGAAAATGTCCTCTCATCGCAACTCCATACATCGGTGAACTCTGTCACATGAGATGCCCGCATTGAAACCGTTCGTTATAGGCAGGCCTCGAGGTCTGCGATTCATTCGAGGAATCCGGGACTGCATTTAACGTGCAGGGGAGAGTGACATTACTTGTGGAACGGAGTAAAGGGAATCTAAGGAAGCCAGGGCCTTGTAAAGTTGATCGCATTCGTCTCACTCAAATCACACTTTCACCCCGAGAGCCGATTACGCTCTCGAATGACTCAGGATAATCTGAACACCACGGTGCAGTCGACCTTCAACACAGCTTTGTTGCCGATCTTTGCGACCAGGTCCGACGAGGTCCGAATAGACGGCTCGTCGCCTCACGATGTTGGACGACTTGTTCGTTGTGTAAAGTCGTCTCTAAACGACGCGACGTCGATGATTCTTTGAAGAGGCTCCCTATGTTTTGGACAGAGGTGTTCATACCAACGGCTTCCGCAGATGTTCCATGCCACGTTTATCCATTCCAAGCACCAAGACGATCTTAGCAATTAAGTGTGGTCCCATTCAACGGAACTTAGCCGATATGACTTGAGGGCTGCTCGAAGTGTACAAACTCGGGAAGAGCTTCGTGCCCGGGTCCCGAAGTCTATTCGGTGGGGGAAAGAGGCATTGCGCATGCAGACCCGACTTCACAATGTCATAATGAGTTTTGCTTGTTCGTAGCAAACGAATGAATCTCCATCGAGCTGCGCATGAGGTAGAAAGTGTTCTACATTGATGCCTGTAGACGAGTTGTTCCTAGGATGAGTCTTTAGAGCTTGAATGAAGCACCCCGTCATGAGAAATATACATCCTTATTTAATGTATACATTTTCTTCCGAAATGATAACAGTATCACTCAAGCAGCGCCCTACTACGTCGTCTTCGGCGGCCAAGACATTTTCACTTTCCCGTGCACCTCTGAAGGCAGCCAATCAAGCACAATTTTCAAGAGAAATTGTGGATCGTTTTCCCACCTGAAATGAAGAGACCCCGCCCCTGATGATTTTCCCTATCGGAAATTCGGGATTATTCTGGGATTGGGTATTTCTCGCAAAGCTTCTGCGGAAAACTCACTTCGTCGAGAGGTCTTTTTTCGAGCAAATGTCAGCTTGTCTCAAAGCTGCCACCAAGTCACTAGATCGTTGCGATAGCGCCGAATATCTCTTCACAATGATCGCCGGAGGAGAAACGTAATGTTTTGCGAACATTTTGAAGTACTTGATAACCTAGGAGAAAGATTTTCAGCATTAACTCGAAATCATGAAGCTCCCTCATGACTCATGTGGGGAAGAAGCGTCGAATTCCTGTACCTGTCCTTCTAGAAGGGCTTTAGCGAACCAATTGAATCTCTCTTTCCAATGGGTTGGGACTTTTTGTTGACTCTTCGACAGCTCCCACGCAAGAGGTCCATAGGTTCCGTTCTGCCACACCAGCAGGCAGTCCTTGGCAGCGTTGTATTCCGGCGGTGGGGAGTCCAGGGGCTCGGAGAGGACACAGTGCTTCGGCGCCAAAGTGGGCAACCAATGCTCCTCGATGGGGCATAGCATCCTGGAAAGGAACGGAAGCAATCTAGGTTAGGAAGCAAGGAGCATCTCTCAAACACGCGGAAACTACACAAAAGTATGAGCAGCGGAATCCTGACACAGAATGAAGATAGGTACCTCAATTTCATTTTGTTATTCGTATCTTCGGTTATTTCTTGGAAGACTACCCAAGGAGGCTGGTCATTGAAAAGGACAGAGTCGCCATGAATCGAAACCACATCCTCAGTTTGCATACATTCGTAAACCTGTTGGAGAAATACTCAGTCAATATCCTTGATAGAAGAACACGTCGAGGGGCGTCACTGAGGCACGAGAAGGAGAGAGCGTGACACCGGGACAATTCCCGTTCTCCAATGGGACGTTTCAGTCATTTGGAGAATAATAATGATCTTTCTGGATGGGCCACGGCCTCCATCGGATGCAGCATCACGTTGTCTTAAGGATCTCTGGTATATCGATTCGTACCTTCCCATGTTTTTTCCTAGCAACTCTATCCGCCATTGCGCATAAGATAATCTGTCGCAGAGCGTTCATTTGTGCGTGGGAAGGCGGTGTCATCTTTGGGTCCAAAGCGAGCTCCAAATCCGGAACGAGTAAATTCAGCTCTTCCGTGAGTTGTCGTCGCATCTTGCGGATCTCTTGCAGAGCCGCGCTCCTCAACTGGCAAAGGCTTTGCTGACTGAATTCGGAGGCGCCGACCGCAGCCAACAACCGACCCATATCTCCAAGACCTTTGCAACTCGCCGGGCAGGTCCCTGCAGATCAATAGACGGTGTACAGATTGATAGGTGGAACGCGATATGTCCATTCTCATTATCTGACCGAATAGAGCCTACTAACCTTTCCCCTTCACGAAAGGCTCCTGGATCGCTAGGCCGGCGATCAGCGTTATCACATACGGCAACAGAGAGCTGTCCTGATAACTGAGAGCGAGCATTTTCGCATAACGTGGAGCGACAGGAAAGCAGCCCATGGCGCGACCAAGCGGAGTAGCCGTTGAGGAGTACAACCAGTTTTCTCGCTCTCGTACCGACAAAGGCTTCATCTGGAAAGTCAATCGCGATGCACTAATCTGATCTGATTTTGAGGGGGTCGGCACGGAAGACTTCTGCGTCTACGAATGGTCTAACCTGTGTTCTCTCGAGGGCTCCGATTTCCACCAGGCAGTTCTCAGCTGCCACGAGAGCTTCTTTAGCTGGCGGGGTGGGGAAAGGGAAATTTATAACTTTCTCGATTCCCATGCATTTCATCTGCAGCATGAGACCATCCACAGGTCTCAGGGTGATCTCCGCAGGCGTGTGCTCCACGAAAGAATCATTGAAGACCGCCGAAGAATATAATCTGAAATACGGAGGGACCTCAGTCACGCAAGGCCCGATAATCTGAGACCGATGGGTTTAACTCCACTAATAAGTGATCAGACGGAGTCTTTCGGCCCGGCCGGCCGCTCCCCACCTGTAGCAATGCCCTGGACCTTGTCGTCCGGCCCGACCAGCTCTCTGCGTTGCAGCTGCTTTAGACGTCCAAGTGACGAGGAACTTGGAAATGCCGGTGACCTTGTCGTAAACTCGAGTTTTGCATTTGCCACAATCAATCACGTATCGGATTCCAGGAATTGTTAGCGAGGTTTCAGCTACATTCGTGGCAATCACACACAATCTGGAAGAAGTCCATAAAATCTAGTATCTTTGCTTTCGCCATGGAGGGTTGAATCGGGTAGAGAGGGTAGCAGTTGAGTCGAGATTCGGATGATTAATTCACCTCGATTGATCGTTCATCTCCTCGAAAACTCGCTGCTGCAGACTCGATGGCAGCATGGCGTACATTGGAAGAACCTTCATCGCTGAGCTTGCATTACAATCGACCTGGGGGAATGCTTCGCCGCCACTGTCGCTGCTCTCGTCATCGTTTTCAGTCAGCGCCTTGAAGAAAATTCGGAATGAACCACCAGAGCGACACCGATCTAGGTACTCGGTAGGTCGGGCTAGGATCGTGTCCTTCGAGACCGGGAAACTCACCTTTTCTTCTTCATCTGAGGAATCCTCATTATCCATTTGATCCCCGAGATCTGCTTCCTCTATCGGATAAAGATCGTACTTTTCCAAATCGAGGCCTTGTTTACTGTCCCTATTCGCCGCAGGGTCGTCGATGGTTTCCTGATCGTCCCCTCCAGCTTTATCAACATCGGAGGATTTTTCCGCTCCCTGAGGAACTTCAGGACCATCCGTTTCCACGACAGCAGGTGAATTTCCTCGTGCAGCTCTTGCTTTGCTCCTCTCTCTTTTCGGATATGCCTCATCGTTGGGTGGGGGAAAACGTGACTTGAGCTGATTGACCAACCGGATAACCTCCATTTTCCCAGTCACGAAAACAAGGATCCCTCCTGGTGGTAGTTTATTGTGGATCTTGCAAATTTTTTTGAATGCGTCCTGCATGTAATCTTTCGGAGTTGTTCGATTGAAGTGGATGGTCACCGGGTATTGTCTCGACTCGACATCGATAACTGGCGGGGGGATCTTGAAAAGTTTCTCGTTCTCCGTGAAATCGGTCACACGCAAGGTGGCCGACATGATAATGACCTGAAACAGAGCACACTCAAGAACTGCACATCCGTTTATGGACTGACCGATCCGCTTCTAGCAACTTTGACAAGATAGACGATTACCCACCCTGAGCGGCTTTCCCTTGCTCTCTCTGAGCTTGACAACTCTCGACAGCAAGCCGATCACTATGTCTGAATGGACACTCCTCTCGTGAGCCTCATCGATAATGACCACAGAATACTTCGATAAGCTGAGGTCGTGTTCCATCTCCTTCAGCAGAACTCCGTCAGTGCAGAACTTTATTCGAGTCTTCTCGGAGCAGTTTCCTTCGAAACGTACCTTGAATCGGATCAGAGGTGTGTCAGCACGAATCATTCGTTTAGGCGTCGAAAGAAATGCTCCACGGATACTCACCTGGTAGGACACAATTTCTTGTCCTAGACCGGTTTCGTAAGCAACTCGCTTCGACGTAGAGATGGCAGCGATTCTCCGCGGTTCCGTGATACCAATCAAACCGGAGTGACCGTAGCCAGCTTCATAAAGAAATTGCACAACCTGTGGAGAAGTCGAGCGGCTTAGACACGGAGCCTCAGTCGAGCCTAATCAAGCGTGATATGCTTTGAAGTCTCCTTCCGTAGGGAAAATTACCTGAGTGGTTTTACCCGAGCCTGTCTGACCGCAAATGATTGTCACGGGATTTGTCGCAATGGTCTCAGTGATTTCTTGCTCCATGTTGATTATAGGCAGCTCGGACCTGTGTTTTATGACTTCTGGTGGTCTATTCAGTAGCTGCAATGAGAATCGGACAGTGAGTGCGATCTCGTGATCAGTCAAAGGGAACCGGAGCAGAATTCAAATCTCTATTGGCTCTTCGGCGAATTTCGCATGATTGCCGAGAACTTACGACTGGCTGGATACTCTTCATGGGGTTCAGGTGACCGATGTTCGCATTAATCTCCCCTATATCGTCATCTTCATCGTTTATGGTGCTGTGTTTCTTGAATGGAATCGTATCACCTCTCGGAATTTCGGGAGCTGTGACCGTTTCCTCTTTCTGCTCGGTGATCTCGGGCTCCTCATCGCCTTCGCTCGCTCCAGACAACTCCTCGTCCGTCTGCAGAAGCGGAGGATGATGTCAATGTTGCTTAGTCAGTCGTCCGCAGTCAATATCGAATAATCTGATGTGAGAGAACTCACGGTCTCGTCGTCTCCGTCACTCCCTTCTTCGAAGCCCAGCACATCTGGACGCGGTTGTTTCGGTTCACTGGCTCCTTTACCCCATTTTTGTACAGCGGACACGCGTCTCTTACGGAGACTTTTGCTGCTCTCAGCCTGAAGAGGTGCAAGAATGGGGTTCCTGGATTTGATATAAGGAGGAGCGCGACAAACAGGCTGAAAGCGAGTGCGAACCTTTTGTGGGCACAGTTTCCTTCGGTCTCTCGTGGCCTCTTGTTTCAATTGGGATAGTTTCTCGACTATAGCTTCCCTATTTCGCCTCTTCTGCTTCTTCTCCAGCACCTTGAGCAGCTCCTTCTTCTTCTTCTTGCTCAGATGAGCTGTCTTTTTTTCTGGAGCAGAAAATCACCATTATTGACCGAAGAATTGATCTGAGGACACGATTGACGGATCTTCGAAATGTTCCCCCCCGCCCGCCTTTGGGAACTTGGGCAATTCACGGGATCATCCGGTTTTCCGAGAGCTCGAAAAAGTCGAGGCTCCAAGAAAGATCATCACTCACGATGTACCGGATTCGAAGAGGAAGCGAACTAAGAATCACCTTTGAAATTCGCTGCCAGTGCTGCCTTCGACGCTTTCTTCTTCTGCCCATCCTGAACTTCAGTCGATTCCGGAGAAGGTTCCTCTGCCCCATCGGGTTCGCCCTTGAGTAGTCCCTCGCGGACTTCTTGATGTCGTAGAAGTTTCCTCAACTTTTTCACCCGACCCATCTTACGATGAGCTCGACTCTTCACACCTCGGTTCTCTTGCTGGAAGTATCGGCAGTCAGCTATGATGAGCACCGTTTTGTGCTCCGCTCACGGTCGGTCCGAGAGTCGGGGATTCCACTCGGGGAAATTAAACTTACTCCGAATCTTCAGAGGACTGTTTCGTACGCGAACTGACAACTTTGTTCTCAAGTCAGCCAGTTCCTAAACACGGTCTCCGCGCTGAAATCTGCTCCGCACGTGGATTTTTTTGTTTACATTTTGCGTTAGTGGTCTGCTGCGCGGCTTGTTTTCAAAACACTAGACGCAGCTGTCATCGGGAATTCGAGAGAACACGGGACAGGGTCAGGGTGCTTTGACTACCGTACTGCCTGGATATTTGCTGTATTTAGACGATATCGAATATCATTCTGCTGCGCTCCAACATCTTGACCTCCCGGGGCCACGTCCGGCCTCAGTAGCCGAGGTTCGAGTGAATTATCGTCTATACCGAAAACCACAATCGTGCGGCCCTTCCAGGCCAATCACCCAACGGGTGTTTCAGACGGCAATATGTGGCCGATCGAACAGGCGAGAAATTCCGATCGTTATAATACGCAAAAAGCCCCCCCCCCCCACGGTAATACCCCCTGAAAAAGGTCCTATCTTTATGGGGGTGTCGCCCCCATGATGATCGCCCCTCAATTCTGATCGGAAATTCGCTCCATCGAAATCTCCCCTCTACAATGAATGGCAGCCTCTCACAGATAGAAGCTGCGCGAGAGACTCCGGCCTCTGCGGCGTCAGCCAGGCTTAGGTCGGCTGGTGGTCTGATGTCAAGTAGACTAACCGATCGTTTGAAATTCGCGATCTGAATAGATGCTCCACATTAAGATCTGCAGACCATCCTCAGTAGGGACAAGACTTCGAAAACACCGCGGGAATGGGTAGAAAGAACAGTTCATTGCATCTGGGCGATGCGACAGGAGGGTATCCATGAGATCAGACAAATCGGATACACCAGATACTTCCCTCGGTATCTCGTAATCCTCATGAATCCATGATCCTCATTCTGCGTCTTCTCGGGAAGACACAAACTTAGATTGCTTAGTTCATGGTAGAGCGGTCTGTGGAGACCAGCCCCGCGCCATGGTTCCGTTAGGCTACTGGCGATGAGATGGAGACAGGCAACGGAAGAATCCGGGAAATATCGATGGTGTTGCATCAAGAGGAAAAAACCCATTCACGACTGATGAAAGACCACGATGCAAACAAGCCGATTAGCTACTGAAAAATCGACCTCTTTCTGAAAATCCTAGAATAATTCCCACAAGAGACCAGAAGCTTCGTCCCCGGTCTGGCGACTATCGCACTTTATGTGGAGTGATTTGTGGTTTTGACGATTTTTTCTACCTGAGGTCGCGCATGAAATGCCTCGAGAGTTTCTCGTCGTCTCCCCGAGGGGCCCGCTACGATCTGCTGCCTGGGAAATCGCTCTCTGATCTTACGCTTTCCTTATTGCTCCTTGACCTCCGGTTCTCGACAGGTCCCTCAGAATTCTTACGCCTCACACCCACCACCGATTTCGTACTCACAATCATCTAATTCGACTCCCCATTCCTGTGACCAGTCTTGACTCTTCCCGATGATGATTCGGCCGAACGCCAGAGAGCCGCTTCCTGAAGAGATGATCCAGGGTCGATGCTCCCTCCTTGCTCGTCATACGTTGCTGGGATCCCACGTCGAGCGTCGGAGGCATTCACATGAGAGATCTGAGTCGTACTCTTCGTGCTGTACCCTCCCACCCTCTTCATTTCAGCATCCCGTCGGCGTTTCCTGCTCAGAGCGCATTCCGTGGACATCCTCATCAGAGCGTCCAACCTCGATTTCCTGCTTAGAGCATACATCCTGGATTTCTTGATCGACTCATCTCTGCTAGAGTTTGTCTTCTCTCCATTCCCCTTCTTCTCTCCACCTTGGACCGCTCTCCTGGATGTTCTCCTTTGCGCATCCCTTCCAATTTTTTTCTCGGGAGCATACCTCTCCGACTCCCCAATGAGGTCTTCCTTTCTGGATCTCCTACTCTTCGCATCTCTTCGAGATTTTCTACTTTTCGAATCCATTGTTGACTCCCTTTCCCTCGATTCTCCACGGAATTTCCTACTCCTCGGATTTCTTCTGGATCTCCTGCTTGACGCGTCTATCTTGGACTGTCTACCCCTTGTCTCAGACTTCTCTTTCGTGGCCCCTATCCTTAGCTTTCTACTGGCGGCCTCTCTTCTGGACTTTCTACTCTCGGCTCCCCATAGAAACGACTCATCGTCTGGGTCCCGCCTGCATTTTCCGGTTTCCGCATACCGCTTGCTCTTCCTACTCAGAGCATCTCTGTGGGACTTCATACTTTCCACGTCTCTCCGAGACTTTCTGCTCCTGAAATCTCTCGAGGATCTCTGGCTCTTCATATCCCTCCGAGACTTCCTGCTCCCCGTGTCTTTCCGGGATTTCCTGCTCCTCGTGTCTCTCCGAGACTTCCTGCTCCCAATGTCTTCCCGAGACTTCCTGCTCCTCGTATTTCGCCGAGATTTTCTGCTCTCCGTATCTCTCTTGGACTCCTTGTTCCCATCGGCTTGCTCCTGCGCCGTTGTCCGAGCGCAACTCGGAAGGACTGCTTGAGCCGCATCGGGCAGCGGATTTGCCCTCAAGCCCGCCTTTTCCTCTGTTTTTTCTGCCTCTTCACAAATGTGTGGGATGAGCGTGGACACATGTTTAGCCCCAACCTCCTCAATCGCCCGAGGGCCGTTGCTGTCGAAATCGTACGATTTGTGTCGTGGCTCCCCCATCTTCGCTTCGGCCCCAGGTTTTATTCTCTCAATGCTCCACCGTCTTCCAGGGACTGGAGGTTTGAACGACGCTTGCTTAAAGACGCGGCCGAAGAACATCTTGTCTGTGAATGTGTCGAGAGCCCTTGTACTCCCTTCCCCGATATCTCGATGCCCTTCCGTCGATTCTTGGCTGGTCAAAGGTGAGAAACATGGAGAAAAAAGTAGAGGATCTCTGGAGCGTCTACTTCTCCTCCCCATCCCTCTATCTACTGGAGTCCCATCGGCGTCGAGATTGCGTGATTCCGGCGCTTGACTATCGTGAGACTCTCTTCCGGATGATCGAGGCTCACCGAGTGCAGCGTCTTTTAGCTCGCTGGGAGACGTGCGCAGGAAATCAGCATGTTAGGCCCCTATTCTGAATTGGTACTGAGGGGTCGAATAATGTATTGAATAGCTTCACCTTGTACCCATTTCGATGAAGACTTCCTACCTTTTTTTCTCGTTTCTACGGGCTTCTGGTAATTTCAGAGTTCCTTCTCGAGCCTCCCCTGCTAAATGTCTTTTCCGCTCGGCGCCTCGTGATCCCCGAACTTCGCTCCTGGGTTGCGATGCTTCCTGTCTAGGTGGTGATTGCTGCTTTTTAGCTTTTACTGAGTTTTTCTTATCATCCTGAGTCGCTCGCTCCCTATTGGGAATCGCCAGAGCCTCCTGAAAATCTTCTCTCTGAGAACTCCGTCAAATTTTTCATGGAGCAACCAGGAAGAAAGCCTCCTCAACGCACATCTTCGGCCGTCGTTGGCCAAAGGTACTCCCTGAGTCGGGGCGCACGTTTCGCGATTTCAGGACAGATTCGGATCCCTCTCAGATCTTCGTCCGTGAAAGGCACCGCGTTGAGAATCCGCTCCGCACACCTTTTTCGCATCATGCAGTCTGCCTGCAGCCATCTTGATGAATGAGACATAATTTCTCTGAGAGCTATTCTGACATTCTTCTAATTTACGCCCAATATATTTCGTTACACGGGTACCTCAACACAGCGATGAGTTTCTCTCTTGGGGGTCGATGCGACAGAGCTTGGTCACTCAGCAGAGCCGTAAGCTGTTCCTCGCTCAGGCTGAGTAATCCCTCCGAATATGCAACCCTTCCGAAGACTCTGCCAATGTGCCCAAGGATTGCTCCTCGCTCTTCACGGGCGTTGCGCTGGTCTGCGTCCACATAGAAGATTAGAGCCTGGTCGATTCTCCTTGAGCCATTGATCTTCTATAAATGCGTGAGATCGCTAAGGACCAAAGGCCGTGAATGCGACTTAAGGCCCGGGAACGCGGCGTTGAGGAGCTCCGGCCCGACTATTTACCTCTGAACAGGCTTGAACGAGGGATCCAATCCCGAGAATGGATGCAGCCGAATAGATGTCAACGACGTTCCTCGCAGTCAGTATCGGGGGTCTCCCTGGGAGCGATTTGGGAAATCGATCACCGAGTGAAATTTTGAATCCTCAAGCTCTCCCTACCTGTGACAATGACGGGATCCTTACCGGAACGAAAGTAGTATTCGATCAGCTTGAATGTTTCAACGTCGATTCCCTCGATGTTCACGCTCACGAGCGCATCTTCCATTTTCATGTCGGCGCCTAGTTTCCGACAGCGTTCCTTTATGACATGAGTCGGGACTAGGAATTGACTTCCTTGTACCTTGATGATGGCCACGGAATTTACCGTTCCCCCCTGATGTGGACGAGTACTCGCATTCAATTGTCCTCCATTGTCCATCGATTTTCGAACTTCTGTGCTCGCGCGATTATTACTCACATTGTAAGGCGGAAGGAGGTTCCTCTTCTCGGGCATAGTCTACCAGCTCGGCCCTCGGGACGAGCGCGACACGGGAGAGCTCGAAAACTTCCAGCCAATGCGGGGATACTCGGTCCTCGGTCCTCGGTCCGGGGTCGCCTTGTCTGTCTGTCCAAAGGAACAAAATACTGTGTCGGGAATAACAAATCGTCGTTTTCCTCGCGCAATGAACAGTGCCGCAATCATTCCCGCTATTGATGCTGGGATATGGGATCAGATATCGACGAGTGCGTGATTTCCGAGGGAACGAGGCCTCTGAAGGCAGGTCTTCCGAAGCATGTTGACGCATCAAACAGAGCCTTCTCATTCCGTCCCAGTTTCGGGCATCTTCGAGATTAGTGCTCAGCATCCACAC